GGCTGTTAAAATGTCCTTTAGAATCTATGGCACAAACTTTTCAATATCTTTTGTGGTGACAATCTTCATTCATGGAAAACAGACAAAAGTCATTTGGGGCAAACTCTGGCTAAAATATGGTTGATTAAGGTGAAGTAAAATCAACTGAGGTTTTCTTTTTTTCCTTCTTTATTTGACAAATATCCACTTTTTTGGAGAATTTTCAGAAAACAGAAGAAATTAGCGAATGATGGCCCAGGCTTTTCTCTTCCCACAGAATCTTCAGTTTTTACATAATTCTGTTGGACTGTTTGATGATGGAGGGTAAAATCTACATGAGCAATGCATTATGTCAAATAAACAAATCAATGTTTATTAAGTTAATGATATTTCCACATAGGCTTTCTGAGATCACCAAGATACACCACATTTCTATTATTAATTTAGTTTTAATATAAGAAATTGGCTCACGCTATTATGGATGCTAGCAAATCCAAAATCTGCAGTCAATGTCCCAGTTTGAGTTTGAAGGCCAGTAGGCTGGAGAATTCTCCCTTACTTGGAGGAGGTCAATTGTTCTATTCAGGCCTTCCACTAATTAGATGAAGCCCACCCACAGTATGGAGGGCAATCTGTTTACACAAAGTTTATCAATCTAAATGTTAATCTTATCCAAAAACACCCTCCAAGTTGACACACAAAATTATCCATCATAAGTACACCTTTATCAACTTGGTGCCCATATACATCTTCATAAACCAAGGCTAATCTCCAAACAAAAAAAGACAATAACAAGTTTATAATTCCAACTAACATTCCACAACTACCTTGTGAATGCATCAGTCCTTTCCCCTGAAGAGGATGCAAAGTCCTTAGATAATGTTAGCTCTTCTCTTTGATATTCCATGACTTTAGTACTACAAGGTAAAGTTAACAATAGTTAAATACTATGATATAAAGTCAATACCTCTTATATTACATGAAAAATGAATAAAAGAGGGAAGAAAACAAAGTTATTTGCTATACACACACATATATATTCATAACAAAATAAGGAAGGAATGCTCATGACAATTATGTCTTTGTTTCTGTAACTAGTCAAATGGTCATAGCTGGTATGCATAACTGTCTTCTTCCATTACTCATTACATATTACCTTTGCCTTCTGCAAGCACCTCAGCTGGTCATGGTTCTTTACCTGGTGGGGCCAGTAGTCCCGCCCAGATTGGGTTGTAGTTTCCCGTTGACTTTAATCACACAGCATGATAATAATAGAAACTTCCTAAAGGGTCTCCTATATTTCAGACTTACCCTTTCTTACCTCCATTACAGAAGAGTAGTCCAATTTTCCCTTGTAGTCAGAATCAATCACCCCAACTACCACAGTAACTCCCTTCCTTGCCTGTTAATTCACAGATGTGATGAGCTCAAAGTGAACCTGTGGCAGTCTTAACTTCCAGTTCCATGGAATCATTGTTGTATCTTCTAGTGAAAGCATTTCTCCCTTTGAAACTAATACGTGAAGACCAGCAGAGTATATCATTATGGATACAGGAGGCAAAAATTTTGTTAGTGGTCACTATGACCAATAGTGAGTGGTTCCACTCCCACTTCTACCCCTTGATTCCTGGACTCATGAATTCAGGCTATGGGAGAAGCAGCAGCATATATGGATGCTGATTCAGAGCATATGCTGCTGGAGATCCTTGTCCCACCATTGCAGGTGTTGCTACCTAGCTGGCACTATACTGAGTCTTCAAAATGCCACTCCACCACTTCAAGACTGCTGTTTCAGGATGGTGGGAAACATTTTAAGATTCGTGAATTCTATGATCCTGGACCCATTGCCATAGTTCATTTGCTGAGAAGTGAGTTCCTTGATCAGAAATAATACTGTATGGAATCTATGATGGTGGATAAGGCATTTCATAAGTCCACAGATGGTAGTTTTGGCAGAAGTATTGTGTGCAGAGAAGACAAATCTATATCCAGAGTAACTGTGTATTTCAATAAGAACAAAACACAGTCCTTTCTATGATGGAAGTGGTCCAATATAATTGACCTGCCACCAGGTGGCTGGCAGGTTATTACCCCAGAAATAATGCCATATTGAGAATTCAGCGTTGGTCTCTGCTGCTAGCAGATTGGACAGTAGCTGTATGTTGCTGAGTTCATGCATAATCCCCACCCCTGCCACCATGGTCACTTTGCTTATGAGCCCACTGAGGAATGACAAAAGTGACTAGGAAAAGAGACTGCAAAGTCAATCTTTGTTGTAATTCAGCCACTCAAAGTATGAGATTCTGGGTTTGGTTTTTAGTAATCTCAGCCCTACAGCTATAGGAGATAGGGGTTTCTTTCAGGCAGACATGGAAGTTTTCTCTTCATTTACATGGCACTTAACCTGGGAACTGGTATTCCTGAGCTCATCTTCCTCCCCAACTTCATCCAGTAACATTAAAAGCAACCATCCAATTTCATTGTAATCATTTGTCTGGCAAAGATTTTCAAAAATATCATATATGTGGTCTCCCAGATCCTTGCTTCTTATAAGTGATTCATTAGGAGTATTCAATTGTGATATTTTGTATGTATCTATCGCCAGATCACACCATAGGCTATGAGCGCTCTTCTTTACTACTGAAAATAGAGTAATTAGTGTCTTTAATTGTGATCAGATTAGAGCTCCAATTCCAGAAACTTCAAAAGCAATTCAGAAAATTCATCTTAAGATACAATTTTTCTGCAACCACCCTCAGTACTCAAATCTGTAGGTAAGACTTTTTCAGAAAAACAGAACTAATAGAAGATACATATTAAGAGATTTATTATATGAAGTTGGTTCCTGTGATTATGGAGCCTGGCAAATCCAAAATCTGCAGATTCAGTGTCCACATTTCAGTCCACTGGCTGGCAGGCTGGAGAATTCTCTCTTGTTTGGGGGAGGTCAATCTTTTGTTCTACTCAGAAGCTCACTTTATTGGATGAGGCCCATCCACATTATGGAGTGCAATCTGCTATAGTCAGTCTACCAATTTAAATGTTAATCCCACCCCAAAACACCCTCACAGAAACACCCAGAATAATATTGGATTAAATATCTGGGTCCCCCATGGCCCAGTCAAGTTAACAAATAAAATTAACTATCACAATATTCTGTCTTCTTATTTTCTCATTATCACCCAAAAGAATGGCACAGTCTTGATAAATATTGTCCCTAGAGCATCATAGAATGTTTAAGATTTGCAAAGCTAATACAACTCTTTATGTTACAGCTGGACATGAAGAAGACTCAACTCAATCAACTGTTCAGGAGGAGAACCTAGTTTTAGAACCAAGTTTTTGAATTCTTATGGCCGTATGCTTTTCATAATACTATTCTACTATCCTTTCTATGAAATCAGTACTTTCCTGTGTAATGGATCTGCATCTTTCTTTACTTTTATTGCTTTAGCCATCATGGTTTAGGTTTGAAGAATATTTGAACCAATCGAAATTTTGACATTTGTTCCAGTTTAACCATAAGGATTCATGGTTACTTGCAGCACTGTGTCATTATAGCATCTTTCCAAACGTCTTCAAACCTCTCTGTGCCAATCAAAAACATTCATTTGACATTTTATACCATTTACTTCTTTTAATATCCCAGCTGTCTACTTGGCAAGTTGGCTTAACTTTATCCAAATTTGATGTGAATTTCTTCTTCTGATCAGCGGTTACTCATTTCTATCCTGCTACACAGCAACAGACACTCATGTTTGCCCTAAGAAAAAGTAAAAAAAGTACTTCTGATTTAGGGCAAGCTGAAATTTTCCATTTCAACTTGGAGAAGGAGTATCAAACTAAAAGTGAGAAGACATTAACTTTGAAATTTTACTGCAGTTAAATTGCTTGGAGACCTTGATCTAGTCCTTTTATTTCTTGGAATATCAGTGAAAGGAGTGGAACTCCTTTCCTTCCTTCCTTCCTTCCTTCCTTCCTTCCTTCCTTCCTTCCTTCCTTCCTTCCTTCCTTCCTTCCTTCCTTCCTTTTTCTCTTCTTCTCTTTTTTCTTTCTTTCACAGGGCCTTATTCTGTTGCTCAGTAAATCTTGGCTCACTGCAGTCTAAACCTCCTGGGCTTAGTTGATTCTCCCACCTCAGCCTCCCAAAGTGTTGGGATTACAGGCATGAACCACCATTCCTGGCAGGAGTTGAATCTTAAAATATGTTATCCTTCACATGTGTGAATAATTTAAAAGACGTGTTCATATACATTGTCTCATTAAACTTTCATAAGCTCACTGTGAAATAGATATCATTTTCTAAATTGTAAAGTCAATGTTCCCATCAGCAAAAGTTTAAAATTAATTGTTACCATATGTCTACTATTATCCCTCCCTCTCTGCTTCTCAAAGCTGCAAAGGGAAAATTGTCTGCTTGTAGTTACTGCTGCTGCAAATCAAATGACTAATTAGAGATCCATATGTGACGACGTCCTAGAAAGATTTTGATTAGCCACTCATCCCAGGTGCAGGAAGTAAGGCACACTCAACACTTAGGAGGAGCAAAGGTGGCATTAAAACTTGTTAACTCTTCTTAATCATAGAAAAGCTGAACCCTAAGCCTGGGGGTGGCTGTGGTGGTGGACGGCTCGTAGATTTAAGAACCTGTGAAAAGGAAAAACCACCATCTCTATTCTGAAAGGAGCAGGCATAGGGTAAAGTATCTTTCTACCCAATGTGACATTCCAACATAAGCATCTCCAGCCCAGACTTCTCTAATGGGCATCTTTACCTGAGTATCTAGTGAGAATCACAAGCTGAACATGTCAAAAAAAAAAATCTTGCTCTTCCCCTTCCACCATAAGATCTATTCTTATAATTATCACCTCCAATCAAAAGCAACTTTATCCTCTCAGTGGATCAGGAAAAACCCTTGAAATAATTCTTTCTTTTTTTTTTTTTAGATGGAGTCTCGCTCTGGGCTCATTGCAACCTCTACCTCCCGGTTCAAGTGATTCTCCTGCCTCAGCCTCTCAAGCAGCTGGGATTATAGGTGTGTGCCACCATGTCCAGCTCATTTCTGTATTTTTGGTAGAGATGGGGTTTCACCATGTTGGCCAGCCTGGTCTCAAACTCCTGACCTCGGGTGATCCACCTGCCTTGGCCTCCCAAACTGTTGGGATTACAGGTGTCAGCCACTGTGCCTGGCCTGAAATCATTCTTGAATCTTCTCTTTCTCTTACCCCCCAGTTCCAACCAACAGCAAATTCTATCAACTTCAGCTTCTTACCATTTTGATTACCACCACCACCCCACATTAGTCCAAGTCACAACAATCTACTAATTATTCTGCTTGATTTTACCTCCCCATCCCACTTAGAGTCTACTCCTAACTCAGCATTCAGTGTAATCTTATCAGAATACAAGTCAGATTATGTTACTTCCCTGCTCAGAATTCTCCAGTGGTTTCCACCTCAGATGGCACAAAAGCCAAAGACTTTACAGCAGCCCAGAAAGCCCTTTGCTTTTTCTGACCTTGCTCCTATGCTGGCTTATGCTCCTTACACTCAGTTTACTGTCTACAGCCACAATGACCCCCGTATTTCCCCTTGAAAACTCCCACCTGCTCCCTCACCTCCACTGGGTATTAGCTCAAATGCCCCCTCTTCAGTGGCACCGTCTCTGAGCACCAGGTTTAAAGTTGACCCCTCGGTACTCCTTGTCCTCCTTCTCTGGTCTCTTATCTCCATAGCAATCACCTCCATTTAATATATAATATAATATTTTTCTTGTTTACTTTGCTTAACTACTGGAGTGTAAGCTCTGCAGCAGCAGGAATTTTGTCTGCTGTGTTCACTAATCCATCCCAAATGTTTCACATCATGCCTGGTACCAGGTAGACATGGTTACATTTGCTGAATTAAATGTAATGAACAACCCAGTCCCAAACCACATCTTACACTATGGAACCTGGGGACAAATCCCTCAATCCTTGTCTGAAAGGTACCTTGGTGGCTTCCCAGTGTTCTGCATCCAGACTTGTGGCTTCTTGTCTTCTTTAGCACGAGTAGACAGTCTCAGCCGTAAATGAACGCTGCTGGGCATCACATGCATTTAAACAAAAAAGTAATTAAAAGGGATTTCGTTGGAAACAATTTCTTGACGTGGTTTTAGGCCTCTGCAGAAATGCTTCTTAGTTTGTCTATGCTTCCTTCTTATATCCAGCCACTCCCTGGCACAATGTTAAACAAAACTGGTGCTTCTTTTCCAAGGCTACATGCAGGTGACCTTTTCATCCTTCTTCACCCTCCCCATCCCAGATGAACCTGTGTCATCATGGAACATTCCAATTGAAATTTTACCAAATCCTGCCAGACCTCGTGTGCCTTGGTCTAGTACTTACAATGAGTAGCAATTTCAGCAGGACGACAAAAATAATGTTCACCCGAAGAACTCATTGACTTGTGGTGCATGATTATAATACGTGTTTTATTTTATTAATAGTTTGTAGGTGATTTACAAAGTGTTTGAGAAAAGAAGGCTTCTGCTGTGGTCAGAGGTACAGAGTGGAGTGTGAGCAGGTAAGGGGGACTCCCAGATGTGGATGTGCTGTGTCCTTGGTTTGTGAGCCCAGGGGAGCAGATTGAACATTGAAGCCTGTCCAGAGTCACGATGCCTTTTAAGTGAGGCTTGAATGATAAAATGAATGCAATGTGCTTCCTATTCAGCCAACATTATGAAAGACATATGGGGTATCCCACCACCCCACCAGGTGCAAATGTATTTGCTTGATAAACTCTTTGCTTCAGTGATCTATCTGATATAACTCTAATGCTCATACTATTAATTTTAAGACGGAAATTAGCTAAACGTTCTTCTGCTGAAGCTTGAGAAAGAAACAAAATGAAATGATTTCAGCTTGATCCTGTTCCTGGGATAAGGACTAGACAATTCTTTCTTTCCTTTTTTTTTCTTACCATGAAGAACTCCTCCATGAGAGTGGGGACAGCCACACAGCTTAACACTCTTCGGTCTTTGTTAGGAAAATGCTTGCATTGTGTCATGCTAACCTCAGATCTCTCTCCCTGCCTCCCTCTGTCTCTCTGTCTCTCACATGTGTGTGTACATACCATGTAAAGCAGGGGTTGAGACACAAGTAGAGAGACTGAGTCAATAATTCGATTGAAGAAGATGTAAACAGATATAATTAATATTCTCAGAGAGACTCAAAAGGGTATTACATCAATAAACAAAAATATACTGTTATTTTTAAAAGATCTTAGAAAGAAATATATATATAAGCATTGACTTTTTAAAAATTTACCTTAGTAAATGGTGTGAACAGCCAAACAGAACCAAAGAGTGGAGTAATAAAATGGAAAATGGAGCTCAAGAGTCTCTTTGAATATCTGGTAGAAAATTTTTTCCATGCAAATTATAGTAGAAAGTCTGGAGACCTGGAGGATAGATATAGAAAGTAGAAGTAGAGAAAACAGAGAGAACTGAAGGGAGAAAGGGAATGAAATAATTTTTAAAACAGAGACAGAATCCTTTTTCTTACAAAGACCTAAATCAGCACACAAACATTCTGTAATGTCCCCCGCCCACCTTCTTCTTTTTTTTTTTTTTTTTTTTTTTCCCTGAGATGGAGTTTTTCGCTTTTGTCGCCCAGGCTGGAATGCAATGGTGTGATCTTGGATCACTGCAACCTCCACCTCCTCGGTTCATGCAAATCTCCTTCCTCAGCCTTCCAAGTAGCTGGGATTACGGGCACCCACCACCATGCCCTGCTAATTTTGTATTTTTAGTAGAGACTTCATTTCTCCATATTGGCCAGGCTGTTCTCAAACTCCCGACCTCAGGTGATCTGCCTGCCTCGGCCTCCCAAAGTGCTGAGATTACAGGCACGAGTCACCGCGCCCGGCCTGTAATATCCTCCATTTTAAGGAAAACTCTACCTTCATACTTTATCCACTCGCATTTCTCTGTTTCCTTTATAGAAAGCTCCTCAAATGACTTGTGGATGTTGACTGGCCCAAGTTTAAGGCCTCTCTTTAACGCACTCAATCTGTCTTTCATCCCAATGTCCTTGGAAACCCCTTCAACACCAGTGTTGCCAAACTCTATGGTCAATACTCCATCACACCAGTGTTGCCAAACCCCATGATCAATATATGCCATCATTGCCTTTCCACAACACCAGCAGCAATGGCAGAGTTAGCTACTCCCTCCTTCTGGGAACAAGTTGTTCACTTTGCTTTTGGGGTCTCATGTTCTCCTGGTTTGGAGTCTCATGTTCTCCTGGTTTCCCCCATGATAACATTTAAACTCCTAACTATGCCTTGTATGCCTTTAATAATCTGACCTCCAGTTACCTGTCCAACATCTCCCACTGCTTTCACTTCATCACCTTTGTTCCGATCATACTATTAATAGTTATCTTTTTATACCTTGAATACACAAAATTGATTCTTTGCTAGTTACTCTACTAAGGCCACATTTTTTAGACAACTGATATGATTCACTCATGTCCTTCAGCTAAAATGTCACCTCTTAGGAGAGGTCTTCTCTGATGACCCAAATAGCAATGCCCTTCCCCCAGTCACAATCATTTCTATTTTTCTACTTTGCTTATTTAAATTCACATAGCTTTTGAATATCTGAAATTCTATCTATCTGTCTATACATATATATAATATATATTCATTTGTGTATTGTCTTGCCAAGAGGAAGGGGATTTTGTTGTATCTTTGTTATATTCACTGATGTATCCTTCGTACATTATAAAATGCCCTAGCACATAGTGTTTAAAAAAAAAATGAAGGAATGAATCACGAGAATAAAAAGCTTCATAAATTTTAGCTAGATGAAATAAAGAGATCTAGTCATTGTGTGTTAGTGTGTTATAACGTTAAAGATAAAGAGATATTTTTAAAACTTCCCACGGAGAAGAAAACAAACTATTTTCTTGGAACATGGTGTTCACTTTATCTACTGAAAAATAATAGAAAATACAATCAACAGGCTTAAGGAACAAAGAGGATGCTTTGGCATATATGAGAAAAGTCCAGTGGTAGGGCAGCATTCAAGTGCCGATTCATTCAGCAATTCAACGATGTCATCAAGGATCCATTTTCTTTCCATCTCTGTTCTGCTATACACAGAGTTAGGTTTTTTAGCCTGAGACTGGCTTATATACAGACTGCCAGTCTCGGTTGGAGCTACATTCTTTGTTTCCATAAAAGGAGAGAGAGAGAAAGCTTTTGTCTCAGTACTCTAACAAGAATTCTGCGATTGACCCTAGTACCTTTATTTAAAACACATGCCCACCCTTGAACCAATGGGTCTATAGATATGCATTGTGCTGATTGGCTCAAGCCAACCTAAAACCCTGAAGATGTGATAGTGGATGGGACTGGGAGTAATATCCAGCCTTCTCAAAAGTAATGGAGTATGAAGGGGAGTGATGGTCACTCACAGGAAAGTCTGGTGATGAGAGGTAGGCTGGGTAGACTAGATGCTGGCAGGCAATCAGTGATGCATAGCATACCTGCAGAAGGACAGCAATTAGACTGACACCAGGCTTCTATGCGCAACACAGTGTGATGGGAGAAATCATTTCAAAGGTCTGCATGAAGACACTCTGAACCTAGAATTATATAACCAGCTAAGTTATTACTCAAGTGTGAGGCTGACATAAAAATGACATCATACATGGAAAGAATGAAGTTTGCTAACCACAAAATCACTCTGAAATGTTACTAAAAATGTGCTCCAGTTAAATGAATGCTTTCAAGAAAGAGGAAGTTATGGAATATAGGAAGCAGTAGTGAACAGCCAAAGCTGAGTTAAAATAAGAATCAATCACCAGGTAAAAACAAGTTAACCATAATCTGATATTAAAATCACAGATGATCTCATAGAAGTGGCAGGAGAAGAGAGGGAGAAGAAGGTAAGTTAAATCCTGCTATGAGTCTCATTAATAGGCAGGATGTAGATAATAACTCATTTAGTTATTGAAAGGACATCATATCTAAATATGTGCATATTAAAGCTAAGAACATTAGGCATAAAAAGCATATATTTTAAACTATTACAGAGAGTGAGAGAAATAAAACAGTGAAATTACAATTAAATAAAATACTTTTTAAAGGTAGAAGAGGAAGAAAAAGAGATAAAATATTGCAATGTTAAATAGAAAAAAATAAAAGGAATAAGTTAAACATATCAGTAATGAAAATAAATATAAAGAAATTAAATTTACATATTAAAAATAGGGTTTAAAATGTTTTAAAATCCAGGTATACTTTATTTACAAGAGGTATGTCAAAGCAAACACATTTTTAAAAATCTATAGGTTGGGCACAGTGGCTCATGCCTATGATCCCAGCAATTTGGGAGGCCAAGGCAGGCGGATCACCTGAGGTCTGGAGTTCAAGACCAGCCTGGCCAACATGGTGAAACCCCATCTCTACAAAATTACAGAAATGTTAGCTGGGCATGATGGTGGGTGCCTGTAATCCCAGCTACTCTGGAGGCTGAGGTGGGAGAATCACTTGAACCCAGGAGGTGGAGGTTGCAGTGAGCCAAGATCACACCACTGCACTCCAGCCTGGGCAACAGAGACAGACTCTGTCTCAAAAGAACAAACAAACAAAACAAAACAAAACAACAACAACAACAACAAAAAACCATAGAAAGACAAAATTATTTAAATATAGGAATGAAAACCCTTATTTCATTAGGGAGTCAACAAAAAACATCATGAAGAATATTATAATCTGTTTTTTCTTTAGCAAACCCAGTAATAGGTGTGTTATAGATTTCCCTTGAAATATTATTTTTCTTCCTCGAGTTCCCCTTTCTTATCAAAGATAAATTATAGTAAGACCAATTTGTGTGAAAAATACATTTTAGGATTATCATATTTAGCCTGAATATTTACATAAAGTACTGCAAGAAGAGTGATTAGCCACATAGGCTCTTTTAAAGTTAGTTTTGCTGGAACTTTACATGAAAAAATATTAAACTTTGGTAAAATAACGTGTCCCCAATATCCTGTCACAAAAGAAAACATTCTTATTGAACTTATGCAAATAACTATGTTGCCATAAATTAAGAATACTCACGAATAGTTTCCAGGTTCTGGAGAAATCAGGGAAAGAGAAAGATAAATCCTTCAAATTTTTGTTCACAAAAATGTACTTTACAAAAGTGTACTTTACCTAATTTGTTGTAAGCTATAAATGGCTCAAAAAGCAAAAAAAGGTTTTCTTGACTCTGGAAAACAAATGGCTTTTAAAAATACAGATCATTTTATCGTGCCACTGCACTGCAGCCTGGGCAACAGAACGAGACTCCATATAAAAAAAAAAAAAAAGAAAAGATCATTTTAATAGTTGTCCTCGTGCATCACTTCTAAGTATAATGTTCCTTAACATTAGCTGCTGTGAAGCATTGTTATAAAGAAAGAAAAGAAAAATTGCTGTTGATCTTGATGTCAATCAAACATTCTTAGTGCTTAGCCTTTCTGCTTTAGCTACCTCATTGTAATAGAAGTCATGTCATAGTGATAGCTTCA